GTGTTAAATTGATGAATTGAATGTTAGTTTGGTGTTGATTTAAAGAATTGTATATTAATTTGGTGTTAATTTGATGAATCGAATATTAATTGGATAAAATTGAATCTTAATTTGATGAATTTAATTTTAAATAGTTAATTTAAATGCTAATTTAATAAATTGAATGTTTATTATACGAAATTGAATGTTAATTTGGTGTTAATTTGACAAATCACATATTTATTCAATGAATTTTTATATTACATTGGTGTTGGTTTGATAAATTAAATTTTTATTAGATGATTTTGGATATTAATTTGATGAATTCAGCGTAAATTGGATGAATTTGAATATATATTGGATGAATTGAATGTGAATTTAGTGTAAATTTGATAAATTAAAATTTTATTGGATGAAATTGATTATTAGGTTAATTTGATGAATTAAATGTTTATTAGATAGAACTGAATGTAAATTTAATGAATTGAATATTAATTTTGTGTTAATTTGATGAATCAAATATTAGTTTAGTGTTGATTTGAAGAATTGCATGTTAATTTGGTGTTAATTTGATGAATTGAATGTTAAATAGTTAATTTAATGAATTGAATGTTTATTATTCAAAATGAAATGTTAATTTGTTAAATTGAATGTTAATTTGGTATTGATTTGATGAATTAAATCTTTATTAGATGATTTTTTATTTTAATTTAATGAATTCAATGTTAATTTAATGAATTAAATATTAATTGGATGAATTGAATTTTAATTTGGTGTTAATATGATGAATTGAATGTTTATTTGATATAAATTTGATGATTGAATATTAAATGTTATTAAATGAAATTGAATGTTAATTTGTTAAATTGAATATTAATTTGGTGTTGATTTGGTGAATTAAATCTTTATTAGATTATTTTTTATTTTAATTTGATGAATTAAATGTTAATTTAATAAATTAAATATTAATTGGATGAATTGAATTTTAATTTGGTGTTAATATGATGAATTGAATGTTTATTTGATATAAATTTGATGAATTGAATATTAAATGTTATTCAATGAAATTGAATGTTAATTTATTGAATTGAATGTTTATTGAATGAAATTGTATGTTACTTTGATGTTTTGTTAAATTGAACCTTTATTGGATGATTTTCGATTCTTATTTGATAAATTGAGTGTTAATTTAATGAATTTGAATATAAATTCGATGAATTGAATGTTAATTTTGTAATAATTTTATGAATTAAATATTAATTGGATGTGATTTAATGTTAAGTTGAAGAATTAAATATTTGATTAGATGAAATTAAATGTTAATTTGTTATTTATATAATGTTTATTGGATGAAATTGCGTGTTACTTTGGTGTTGATTTATTAAATTGAATCTTTTTTTGGAGAATTTTTTATGCTAATTTTATGAATTGAATGAATGTATATAAATTGGATGAGATTGAATGTTACGTTGATAAATTAAATGTTTATTAGTTGAATTTTAATGTTAATTTAATGAATTAAATGTTGATTAGGTAAAATTAAATGTTGATTTGAAGAATTAATTGTTAATTTAATGTAACTTTGATGAATTGAGTATTAATTGAATGAAATTGCATGTTACTTTAATGTTGATTTGATAAATTTAATATTTATTGAATGATTTTGGATGTTAATTTGATGAATTATAATATCAAAAAGTTAAAAGTGTAATACCAAAATATTAAAAGTATAATATTAAAAGATAAAAGTGTAATATCAAATGATTGAAGTGTAATATTACACCAGCATCGGTCACCCATTCCAACGATCGGCCTTAATTCATCCATAAGTAAATTACACTTACACCCCTGAAGTATAACAATATTTTTATTTTGTTTCCTATATTTCACCTTCAAGTAATATTTTGTGTTAATTTGTATATAAATTGGATGAGATTGAATGTTATGTTGATGAATTAAATGTTTGTTAGTTGAATTTTAATATTAGTTTAATGAATTAAATGTTTATTAGGTAAAATTAAATGTTGCATTTAATTCTTCAAATCAACATTTAATATTATCTAATAAACATTTAATTCATTAAACTAACATTAAAATTAAACTGATAAACATTTAATTCATCAACATAACATTCAATCTCATCCAATTTATATTCAAATTCATTCAATTCCTAAAATTAATATCGAAAACCCTTTAATAAAGATTCAATTTAACAAATTAACACGAAAGTAACATTCAATTTAATCCAATAAATATTTAATTTTTCAAATAAATAGCAAATTAACATTCAATTTTTCAAATCAACATTTAATTTCATCTAATAAACATTTAGTTCATCAACTTAACATTCAATCACATCAAATTAATATTCAATTAATCAAATTAACACAAAATTAACATTTAATTTATCTAATTTATATTCAAATTCATTAAATTAACACTCAATTTATCAAATTGACATAAAAAATCATCCAATAAAGATTCAATTTAACAAACCAACATCAAAGTAACATAAAATTTCATCCAATAAACATTTAATTCATTAAATCAATACCAAATTAATATTTAATTTCATTTAATAACATTTAATATTCAATTCATCAAATTTATACCAAATAAATATTCAATTTCATCAAATAAAAATTCAATTCATCATATTAACACCAAATTCTAAACCAAACAAATATTTTTGGATAGTAAAAGGGAGAAGAGATGTACGGTAAAAGAAATGGAGGGAAGGTAAGAGAAGTGAAAAATGGTTTGGGCGGGAAAAGAGATGGAGGGAAGTGAAGAGAAGTGAAAAATGGTTTGGGCGGGAAAGTGGGTGGAGGGAGAATATAAGGTTTTGTGATTTATGGACCACAATATTCGCTTAGAAAATAAACAAATAATATATTGTAATATGTGGAGTATAAATGTAATTTACATGTAAAGAATTAGGACTGGTCCAAGAAACGGGAGATCGATCCTGGGTAAATATCACACTTTTATCCATTTTATCTCTTAATTATTACATTTTTATCTCCTAAATAATCAAAAAAATCCTACTGTAGTCTAAAAATATTCAATATTTTTTAAATAGTCCCATTTTTTTATTAACAATAAATAAATAATGAATAAAATCAAATAATTAAAAAAATTGTAAATAATGCTTCCAACTATTTGAGTTAGGGTTATAACTTTTTTTGGATTAGGTTCCAATTTTTTGGGGTAACTCAAATTAGCTAGATTACAACTATTTTGGTTAGATTTCAACTATTTTAGATTGAGTTATAAGCTTTTGGTATGATGTTTAATTTTTTAGGATTGAATTATATTTTTTTAGGGGTGGTTCTAATTTTTTTGGATAGAGTTTCAATTTTTATGCATTAGTTTATATTTTTGGCTCACCTTTCAATTTTTTTAATTGAGTTATAACTTTTTGGAGTTTGTTTTGGATAGAGGTTCCAATTCTTTGGGTTCTAATTTTTGATTGAGGTTTCAATTTTTTTTAAATTGAATTCTAACTTTTTCAGTAGGGGTTCCACTTTTTTGAGGTGGGTTCCAATTTTTTTGGGTAAATGTTTCAACTTTTTGGGTAGGAGTTCCATTTTTATTGTATGAGGTACAACTCTATTGAATGTGGTACAACTCTTTTGGACTAAATACAACTCTATTGGATATGTTACAACTCTTTTGGCTAGATACTATTTTTTAACAGCAACGAGTTTCACCGATTTTAAAGACCTACAAGTCACATTTACAGTCCACCTCACTTTTCAGTACCGTACTGAAAAGTAGGTTGGTTGGATAGTAGCCTTACCCTAATTTGGGTGAGACATAAGGACTTGTTGTACTCTCCTTCTTTGTTTTTTTTGGGAGGGAAAAGAGAAAAGTGCAAGACGACTTGGACTCTTGATTTTAAGAAATTAAAGTCTTTATAAAACACAAAGTACTATTGGATCAAAGACTCATCGATACTTATTCTTCCCATTAGTAATCAACATAGGAAAGTTCAACACACAACTTACAGGAAGTTTAATGGGTTTACCAGGTGACAGTGATGTGATTAGATAAAGCCATAAATTTTCCATGCAAGTTCGTGGAAAGTTCACCGAAACTTCAACAAACTTTGGTGGCAATCTTCCCCCCAGTTAAGTGCTACCCTTTTTAGGTCATTAAAGACAAAGTAGTAGGTAACTCACTTTAGTAGGAGGGTTTGTCCCATCAAAATCCGGTTATAATCCAAACGGTGTAAATTTAAACTCAAATGTTATAATTTTATATCAATTTTCATTTGAGTTGTGTTAAGAATTGTCTGACCCGCCTTATGAGAGCCCCACTACATATAATTGAAAGTTAGAGTAATTCTTCGCTCCAAAGGATCACAGATCGGAAAATACCTTATAAACTATTTACGATCTTTTTTAACATGATGATCTCACCCCTAATCTTTAAAGTTTACCACTCTTATATATTAGTCAAGCTTGAAACACTTTCACGACCCTATATCCTTGGCCTTCCATCATCGTTCGCCTAACTAGCCCATCTTTCTTTAGAGAAAGAACTACTCACTCCATTTCTTATGAAACGGAGAATGCGATTTAGAACATCGTCGATGACATTTGGACTATGCACAATAGGTTTTTTGTGAAATGTTCAATCCTAATTAATCAGCACAACTATTAGTGATTCTTTGGTAGATAAAAAGAGGGGAGGGAGACACTTTGGTTAGCATTAAAAATTATTTGCTTTTATCATACTAGGTATAATAACATTGATGGGAGGAGTTCAGACATAGTCATTTGCCATAGAGACCAATGTAAATAACTGGTAGAAAGTATAATACATAGAGGATAATGAGCCTGACTATGGCATTTCTGTTCCACACCATGGATTCAACAGTTCGATATAGAGATTCAATATACCGTAGTGAGATCACTTTTCTTTTTTCCTTTTTTTATCTCAGCAGAGTAGGAACAGTTTCTAAATTTTCCTAAACCCCCCTCCCCCCCCCCCCCCCCCCCCCCCACAGAAGATCATCATAGTAGGGCCCACTCCTCGAGTTCTTGTGGACCCAAATTGAGAATTCTTGTCAGCCACTCATCATCAAACTCCCCACCATCCCAGCCATCCATTTTCTCCACACCCTCATCACCACCCTTCATGTACCACTCTCTCTCCTCCCACACCCACGACCCATTTCTGGTCGGCACCGGCAAACCCATATCCCCGGAGGCAATAAAATTAGTGGGCCCTAGAACCGGAACACCACCACTACTCAGCTCAGTGCCAGCCATCACAGTGGATGCAGAGTCTGAAAATGCAGGCCCACAGCTCTCATTATCGCCACCTACAACGATAAACGACGACAACGGTGAAGCCATCGGAAAAATATCCGGCGTCAAAGATGTGATTATATCACGGTCATCGTTATATCTATAGGCTATTTCTCTCCATAGCTCTTGCATTACTTCCTTTACCATCTCTTCGTTTATGGGTATCTCCAGCGAGAACTCATCGTCAGATATCGCTAGCAACTCGTATAGTTCTCCACTAACCTCGCCGCCGTTTTCAGATTCTGGCTTTTTCCTGCTTTCTTCCATGTTTTCTGTGCAGAGAGAGAGAGAGAGAGGGTGGGGGGGTTGTGTGTGAGACAAAACAACCATGTACGTACTATATATATAAGTGGAGCATGCCAGCGTGGTTGATACGGAGTTCCACGTAGGATGGAAGTCTGTGTCTGATGACGTGGCTTGAGTTTTTTTTCTTTTTTCAAACCGTTTGAGAGTAGACCATCGTAATTTTTTTGAAGGAAAGATAGAAAATTGAAGAAATGGAAAGTATAAGGAATATATTTTTTATTTTTTAAAAGAAAAATAAAAATAATATTTTTTTTTGTATTTAATAGGATAAATGGAAAAAATATTTTTTCTATTTTTTATTTTTATTTATTTTTAATTTTAATTTAAAAAAGTATAAATATATATTTTATCATTTATATATAAAATTAATACATACATAATATATATATACATACATAATATATATATATATATATATATATATATATATATATATATATAGACAAATAAAATACAATTTAACATAAATAATTAATTTTTCATACATACTTTTCTTTCAATTTTAAAGGGATTAATTTTGATGTTTTATCTATCTCTCAAACTTTTCATCTTTCTATCGTATCAAACGAAGCATAACTTTCTATAATTGTTTTATCAAGTTAATTTCCCCTAATTATCTATATACCTTTCCAAGTTATAATGAGATAGGAAAAAAGGGAGAATAACAAGGACAAGGAAAAAAAAAAAAAAGACGTGTGGAAATTTCGTACATCGCAAAACTACTATTAATAACTTTCGTTACAATTAGAAAAGTTAGTTTCCTAAATAGTTTTTTTTGTCCCCCCAAAGTATTTGGATGCATCACATCATGGGGTTCAACTTTGAACAGTTGATATTCAGATCATTTTCTTAGTATAATCACATTGAAACAACTCTAGTTGAATTCCTTCAACAGGTATACATGAGTTCAATTTACTTACATCAACTAGAACAATTCAATGGAGATGGAGAGCAAAAGTGGGGAAATTTAAAGAACAGAGAGAAGAGGAGAGGGAAAGCAAAGTGAAAATTTTGTAATTACTTCATCTTTAGTTTCCACTTGAAGGGGAAAAAGAATGGTATTCAATGAAATAAAATGAAACTTCTGAAATCTAAATTACAACATTGCATTCCTCTACTCCACCTTTCCCCAACCCTCCTTACAAAAATTACAACACAGAAATATGAAAAAGAAATAAGTGATGATTTCTTGAACTTTCACATCTAAAAAGGAGGAAACATGTATGTTCAAGCCCAGATTGCCAGAGAAGACATCAATCCAGCCCCAAGAAACAACATGATATAAGAGGCTATCTGGAGCCTCACATTGCAGCTCATTCTCTTACTCAAGAAATCAGCAGCAATAAGGTCCACTAAAGCCATGTATACTAGAATACCAGCAGAGAGAGAGTCAAAGATACCTTCGATAACTAATGCTCTTGGGCTCATCGGATTGTAAAACGAAGAAATGCCACTTCCAATGGCAATCCCAACCGGGGTTGTTACAGAGAAAAAGCATGCCATTATGATTGTATGTAGGGACCTTAATTGTGCCTGGGAGATGCAGCCTCCCAGTGCAAACCCTTCAAAGAACTGATGGAATGATAGTGCTGCAATCAAGGGTTTAATGGTACATGGGCTGTTTGAAACTCCAAGTGAAAGTCCAATGATCACCGAGTGTGATACGATTCCAACTTCCAAAACCTGTAGAAACGAAAGAATACTCAGTTCAAGCCAAAATTTTCGGTCACTGTGTGAGAACTGGAATCAGGAAATGCTCAGAAATCCACAACATTCTGGTGGTAGCAAGAGCTGCCTAATGATAAAAAAAAACTAGCACTACAAGCGTAGCAGATCCTATCTATAAACACAGACTAAAAAACAGTATAACACATTAACACTTGGACCAAATCAAGCAGCATTAGATCAAATCATGTTCCACATTACAATATATAAAGGGGAAAAAAAAGGAAAAGGAAGACTTGCCACTTTATTCTGCGTTAGACAAGATCATGTTCCAGATTACCCAATCAGCCAATCTCAACATCAATTTAGCCTCGGACCACAACCACCAGGAAATATTTTACTTGTTTACTTTGTTTTTTCAATATCAGACTTTATATCACCACCACTAATTAGAGCAGTTTAATTTATCTCTTAGGATCCATATTGGTATATCAAGGGTGAAACTTTGATTTCAAGAAAACAGATAGAACAAGTATGATAATGAGTTCATTTAACCAAATCTTTGTTTCCTATGCCCACACTAAAAGCAGCAATTGCAACCTAATGTCAACAAAAACATAATAATTCCATAGGATGGACTTTAATTTACAGCATTGAGCAGGCAAAAGATGATGCATGGCAAGAATCATTCTAGTAGGTCTGCAAATATAAAACGTTATGAACGTCGCTAATTCTTGAACTTAAACATTCTAAGAAATTCAAAATTATTTTTCTGGTCAAACAAGAATTTTTCTAAAGCAGAATTGGAGCTCCACATGGCCTCACTAATTTGGCTGTTGAACAGACGGGGACCGAGAGACAGGATGTTACCACACCCCTACACTCCCCAGACTTAGCCAGAACAGAGAGCATCACCACATCAAGCAAGTCAAACAACAGGAAGATAACCATATTTAGTGACAGTAAAAATTCCTCAAACAACCAACTCCATATGTCATCAATATGTATTTGTGTTTTATGTCAATTTTCAGGTGAGATGACTCACCAAATGAACACTATGAAACCGACTAGACCAGATGCTTCCACAGATGAAGCACCATAAAGTTCACAGGAGGCACTCGCAGCCCAATAAAAAAGTTGTCCACTATCAATAAAGATTTGATAGGTGTCTCTTTTGAAATGTCAGCTCAATGTAAATGATGTGAAATTTAAATTCAACAAGATGCCTAAGACTTAAAAACCAAAATATACTAATAGTTTACATAGTTATCTGCAAACCATTAAATAAAGTAGCTTTCGTCACTTTATTTAATTAAGTCAGTCTGAACTTTAAGGTCCACAAGATAGAAGTGCAATATGAGTGCAGGACCTACAGAATATAATTTCATTAACCCATTCAACATCAAGGTTAGACCAACCATTCAGCAAGTATTAATAAATCAAGCAATTTCTCATACATTATAGTAAATAGCACTAATGCCTTAGAAGACAAAGCCTGAAATTACCTGCGAAACAACCACATGCCTCACACCACCATCCTTGTCCACATCACCAAACCCGTGCGAGTGCCCATGTCCATGCCCATTGGCATCCTCCTTCACATGCCCCTCACAAGCATCCTGTCCTTGAGGATGGCTATGTCTATGATGCGCCACATGCGCATGCATACCCACAATGTGCATTGCACCACCTTCCTCTTCCCCAAACACAGCCCCAATCCTTTGTGTTGCCTCCACCACAGGAACAATACCTGACTCAACCACCGATTCCACCGAGTCAACTCGGGGAATTTGACTTTGTTTCTCTTGCTTTCTCTCATAATACTGAGTCCCCACAAAGTCAACCATCAATGTAGCCAATGCAGCCATCATGGCGATGAAACCAGAGAACGGGAACTTTGACCAAGGGATTTTGGGCAGACAGGAGTTCGTCAGAGCCTTAGTGGCATCCGGTAACATGTGAACAAAGCCAGTGGCAAGTATAACGCCGGCTGCAAAGGCTTTGGCGGCAACAAAAACATTTGAGTCAGTTCGAAGGAAACTGTGTTTCTTGCCAACTAATGGTATGGCAATACCACACACTCCGGCGGTGAGGATGGTGCCAATAGCTACCATTTTGAATATGAATGCCCCCGACTTGTCCTGGCATGCTTCTAGCTCAGAATTGTCGCCAATGCAAGTGGTGATGGACATGGATTGAGAAAGGTTCTGCAACATAGAGTCTTTTTGGACAACCAAAAATAAAGAAAAACCAAGTTTTAAAATCCCTGATGAATCACCAAGAATTCAAGTGAATTATACTGAGATTACAATCTGATATGGTTATACTGTTTGGCTGGTAGGAAAATGAAGTAAATTACAGAAATCTAAAACAGAAGCTTTATTTAACCAAAGCAAGGAAAGAAAACTTAAGGAAATTCAAAAAATGCAATCAAATTGTACAAATTATCATGAGGAGGAAATCCCTTATTTTTTTCTTTCTAATTAGAGTGTTTGGTTAAGGAGAAAATGAAGCTAAAAAACAACAATACTCCAAAAGCGACCTTTTTTCCACCTAAACAACAAAAGCCAAACTCAGGATCACCCCCAAACCAGCCAATTCATATGACATTTCGTGTAAAATCGGGACCAGGTTCCCTCTTCGCCCGTTTGCTAAGTGAGAAAAGTAACGAGAAAAATAGATAAACCTTGAAAAATTAACTCTGTTCTCACCCGAAACAAGAAAATTTTCGACACCCAAGAAAAATCAGTTCAACAAAACGGTTTCTTGAAAAAAGGAACTTCTTGGGTTGTCCATAGCTCTTTAATTTAAGACTTCGCAAAAAAAGATAATCAGCCAATTAAGCCTTAACACAAAGTACTTTGGCTTAATTGGAATAAACTGTTGTCAATAAATAATCAAAACAACAAAACCCAAGATTCAAAACTCAGTTTAGTTCTTATCTAACGTCCTCAGCAATTAAGACGTGGGTTTTCGTAAATTACCTGAGAAAGTTCGGGTCTTTTCTCGGATTTGATCAAAGAAAATCAAAGGTAATAGATCCTGTAAAACAAGAAATTCAATAAGCACAACTTTCTTGCCAAAGAACACTTATAGAAAGCACGTCGTATGTCTGTAACTGCAACACACAGAGAAAGAAATAGCGAGAGGGACAGAGAACCTCAATGAATGACATGGGTGCGAATTTTTTGGGAATTCGAAAAACACGAATCTCTATATAGTGATGGATCGTCTGATGAGTTCAATCTACATCGACGTTCACACCGAAACCATGACAAGCGTCATACGATGACAGATGAGGATGAGGATGAGGATGAGGATGATGCTTTTATTCTGCCCACAGCACATCCATCTGGCCCTTATATTGATGTTTCTGTAATAGAATGGATGAGAAAGATAGACACAGAGGAGGCGTCTGAGAAGAGAAATGTCGACATATTTGAAGAGGTTAAGAGGGCTGCGTTGCTTGGTGCGTGGAAACTGCGACTATTTTCTGTAAGAGAATGAGAGAGATAGTGTCGACACTTTTCATGTAATTACCGGCCAACTCGTGCTTCCATAAAATATAAAATTTGAGTCCTAAAAAATTAATTTTATTATATTAAATAATAGTTTTTTTTCTTTCATTTTTTTATTACATCATTCGATATTTATTTTTATTCATTATTTTCTTAAAAATATTGACAAATTTTTTTCAAAATACGTATTTCAATAAAAATTTTTTAACATATTTATATTATCGCGTGTGAATAATATCTAAAACCAAAATTATGTTAAATTATAAATTAATCAAATTTTAAATAATTGAACATGTGATAGAAATGAGTGATGTGATGATTTTGAGAAAAAAAATGTACGAGAGATAAAATTCAACTTACTGGGTGCTTTATTATATAGATTCTTTAATCTCTTTACAATATAAAAAAAATACATAATACTCCCCCAACTTTTTTACATATCATCTAACAGTTGTCAAATTTTGTAGTTATGTTATTTTGGTCCCCAAATTCTTTTGATTTAACTCTTAGTGATCCAATCACTCTACATGTGTTTAAATTGGTAGCATAAAATATCAAGTGATGTTTACACAAATAAAACTTTTTGTCCTTAGAATATTTGAGAAAAAATAATGCTATAAGGATCATCTAATTTGGAGATTTAATTCAATGTAGTTATTGGATTAATTGTAAATTTGAATATTATATAAAATTTATTTCTAATCCAACATCTATAATTAATTAATCCCCAACTCATATTTAAATAAGATTTTCCTTTGATAAATATTACTAATTTCCTTGATTAACAATTACGTCATTTTAATCTAATGGGCGTCAAATGTTAACATTGAGGTGCATGTGTTGACATTTTCTAAATAATGAATAGTCCTGCATAAGGTTATCTGTGTATATAATATTAGAGTAAGATTAGAGAAGAGTCGCATAGATACGAGAGTTATAAGAGATAAAATCATGAAGCATCATAACAATAGTTATGAGTAGTTAAAATAAGAAGAGAGAAATAGTATTACAGGTATTTCAAATGTGAACAATAATCCCCGTATTCTCCCTTTATTAATAGTATAGATTATTAAAGTGGTAGCTTTTAGGAATACAATTAACAGAACCAACAAGTGGGAGACAAAAATAATATTTCCCTTCTAGTTTAGGAATAAAAAATGTGCATATCAATTGAAAACTTAGATGGAACCAGATGCATTCTTAAAAGAAAGTGATTTGCCTTCCCTACAATGCAAGGAATAACGAAGTCTTTTCTCAACACATTTCTTTAGACACTAGTGAGAGACAGAGAAATATTTCGCTTCTAGTTTAGGAATCAAAAATGTGCAAGTCAATTGAAAACTTTATGGAACTTATGTAACATAATTGAAAATTTGAGAACTGATGTAAGACGGCTCATACTTTAGGGATATAATTGTAATTTTTCTATATAATAAATTA